ACTTTATGCACCCCTAGTTTCTAATTTGTTCTCTGTGTTTGATGTATTTGGATATTGGGTCCGTTTCGAGTTCCAAAGCCATGAGATTTGATGAGATATGAGGAGATATCGGGTCTGCTCTTCTCTTCAAATAAGCTTTTGATTTACGCGGTAACAGTTGCTTGAATGTTGTTTTCATTTTGCTTAACTGTTGTTATGTTATTGTTTTATTGTTACATCGAAGGTTTTTGAGTTCTTTGTATTTATTCGATTTTTTGAATGACTATAATTTGTATGTATGTATTCTATTTTATTATTATCGTTGTTGTTGCTTATTTAATTTAACAAATTTTTCATGCTTTTAGTTAATATAATTGTTATGTATACATATAACCTATTTGTTTTTTTCTTTTCTTTTTTTTTTTTAATTCTTAATAATTCATGTTTGAAGAAGAAGAACAAGAACAAGAAGGGGGAAGGGAAGAAGAGAGAAGAAAAGTGGAACGAGATGTAAGAGTGAGAACGAAGAGAAAGAAGAAAAAAGAGGAAGAGAGTGAAAGAGAATTAGTGCAGTTGAATTTTGGATTATTGTAACTTCCTATTCTATCATTATTAGTGTGTGGCCCGTGCGATACATGAGAAAAAAATATTTACGATTCTATTATAAATTAAATATATAAATAACATTAATAATGATTTACCCATTGTTTTTAAATTAAATTGTGTTGGATACTGTCCGACCGGATGGACCGAGAACCGATTTATAATAAGTCTAGTTCGCTTGAATAAAATATTTGCTGTCGAATCCGTCAACACCAGTCGGTTGGACTGGTAGGAATGATACGATTTCTTATATAAATTTTGTTACATTTAAAATTATTTTAAATAAAATTAAATATTTAAATATAATAGAGATTTATAAATTATTTATCAATTAGTTTAAACGCTTGAATTTGTAAATTATTTAGATATTTATGTAACACATTTTATTTAAATTTATTACAAAAAGTACTATATATATACATATATTAAAATATTTATAAATTAAAATCGAACAAACCACAAATGATTTAACAAAATAACTTGATCGTTTCGATGACGGTCTGGTTCTGAAAATCTTATATTTACTGTATATTAAGAAAAATTATAATAAAATATTATTTTATTCACATAAGTATTAATAAAATGATAAATATTTATAAATTATTTAACATGTTGTCATAAAAGTATTGTTAATATGATAATTTGAAGTTTGGACTATGTCACATTCACGTAATAAAGTATTTTCAATATTAAAATTTATATTTAGGTTCAGTAATCGATTTTGGCATGGTCAAACTGATACATAACATAGTCACCTGGGACCAACCAAGTTGTATGAAGTTTTTTTGACTATTTTAAATATCATCTAAAAGTAATTCAATCAGCAGTGCCCTAATCAATCGCCCGATCGATCCAAATAAATTTTATTATTTTTTTAAATATATTTAATTTTATGAAATAAAAATATTTTATGATTCATGATATAATAAATGTCTACACCAAATGATAGTATATTAAGATTACAAATTATATATCTAAAGATGAATTAACTATTTTTATATTATGCATATTAATAAAAAGTAAACATAGTAATTTTTAAAATATTAAGATTAATTGATTGATTATGCAATTTAAAGAATATTTTTAGCGTTTAATATTTTTTTAAAAGCCACAAATATAAAGACTGGTATTCTAAAACTTTAGTTATATTTTGAATTGAGATATTATAAATATAGAGACCGACATTTTAATAATTTTTTTTTGTTTATAAGAAAAAAATATAAAAATGAAAACATGCACACTTAATAGATCTTAGACGGATTTTTTTAAGTAATAAAATGAACTAAAACCCGAAATTTAAGGTAGCATTTAATGTTGTATGATTTTTTTTAAAAAAAATAAGAAAATAATAAAACTTACTTGTATTTAATTTGACCTATTTTTTTGCTATTATTTTTGGGGAATGATTATTCTAACTAGTTTTTAACCCGTGCATTTGCACGGAAAACAATATAATAGAACAAAAAATAATAAAAATATATAGACAATAGTAAAAATCATAATATAAGCATTAGAAAAGTGTTCTAAGAAGTAGTAATAACTAAATATTGTTAAACAATTTTTTATATACAACGTTTGTGGTTTTTCTATGAACAGAATTTCCATCACTACAAATCATATCTTCAAATTAAGACATATAATGATTTTAATTGTTTAAATAATTATTGTATTTTGTACTATAAATCATGTAGAAAATTTAAAAAAAATATTAAAAAAATACCAGCAAAATATTACAAAATAAATAATTGTATTTGGTTGATAATAATGATATGTGCCAAATATTTAAGACATTTGAACAAAATGGCAATTTTTGGGTCATAAAGAAATATATTAATTGAATGATAAAAAAAGCCCAAATTAGAAGTCCACTTAATTTTTTAGGGTAGCAAAAATCAAATATAAAACAGGTCAATGATAACATGACTATAAATAGAGAAAAACTCCTTGAGAGTGATGTAAGACATTTTTTTTTTTTTTATGTCGGCGCTTCTCTCGTTATTCACTCTGTCTGAAACCCTAAGCCTTAACCCGATCTTACGACAAACTCGGCGAGATTCAATACAAAACAACTGTTTTACCGGAGATTTTCTCCCGGTAAAGGCTTAAAAAATTAAAAAAAAGAGACATCCAAGAAATGTTGTTTTTGTGACCAACAGTAGTGATCGAAAAATAAAATATTCGTCCCTTAATCTGTGTTGCTAAATCTTAACAGGTCGGTCAAAATCGGGCGATAATATTACAAATCTATGATAAGCTGAAATATTTTTTGTTAAACGTAGTTTTTATTTTTTATTATTTTCAATGATCTGTGTCGTTTTTTGAAATTGTTTGTGAATAAGCTTCAAGATATATCATATTTTATACATAATTCGAAATTATTTAGATGTTTTTCAAAAAAAATTTTCGAAGAGAACATGACAATTTTGTTCAGGGTTTGAAAAAATATGTAAGTTTCTAACAGATCTGTTCAGCTCTACTAACAAATATATAGGTAAGTTTATAACATATCTGTTCATATCTGTTTATAACATACATATGTAACTTTTATGTATTTTGTTCAGATTTTGAAAACTAAATAGTTCAATTCTTTGTCGTCTTTCTCATCATATCAGTAAGTGAAGCTTTGCTAACACTTGTTCAAAATCGCTTTTCGAAGTTGTTCAAAGTCTTTTGCCGAAGATTTTCAAAATTTTTAGTATTTTGTTCAAAATTTGGAAATATTAGGTAAGTTTATAACAAATCTGTTTAGATATATTTATCGCATATTAGGAATTTATTGTTTAATGCTTAAAAGAATCTGTAGGAATTATTATTTTTAAAACTTTTACGCAAAAAAATCGATTTTAATATAAAGGCAGATGTCTTGGTAAAAGTTGAATGTGTTGATAATGATAGGAAAATCAAATTATTTTTCTTTCTATATTGTATAGTGTTCAATAATGTTCCACATAATTTGTTGTGTTTTTAATTTTGATTTTTTCATATAGATTTGACTTTTTTTTGTTGATTATTAGTTATGCTTGATATTTCTATATTATGCAACAATCTGCCATTACATACAATGCCTTGTCAATCTCATTCTTTGACTTTGTTGATTTTCGTTTAATATGACTTTTCTGTTGCTGAAAGTATGTTTTTAATGCATTAAAATATTGATGTTTTGGATATGTTTTGATGCTATAATCATGCAAAAATTTGTCCCGCCACTTTTTTCTTAAAGAGGAATTGTTTAGTGAAAATTAATCATATTTATATTTATAATTGTGAAATAATATTTTTTTTTTTGCCAACAGTTATTTTTTTTAATGAAAAATATGAGACAATTTATTCAAAACACTTTTTAATTTATAAAAAAAGAATGTTGATTGCGATAATCAAATATGCAGAAATCATGCATTTTATTGAATAGTAGTAATATAAAATATTCTATTATTACTACCAAATAGAAAGTCAAAGATAGTTAATTTTGCACTATTAATTATGATCATATGGATTTTTTTTTATACATATGTTTTTTCAATGAACTTTTTAAATGATTTGAAAATATAGACTTTGCTATAATAATTATATAGACTGTGTTATAATAATAATTTATTTATTTAATTCATTAATTTTTTTTTAATTCATCTTATTATGCATATAGTCTAAGTTTATAAATTATATGTCATTTAAATGTATCTATACTACTAATTTATAAGATTTTACTATTTGAAGAACTAAATTTTTAATTTTAATTATGAAACTAATCTTTCTTATCATTTTGTAGTTATATGTTTGATTGAGTATGGTTGGAAATTAAATTACAAAAAAAATAATTTCATTTTTCATATTGTAATGTAACATGATATGTATTACAATGTTTGTAATTAATACATTTATTAATATTTCTTATAACTTTAATTGTTTAATAATGAAATAAAAAATAATAATATATAGTTTCTGCACAACAATAATGACTGACACGTTTATATATATAAATGAGAATAAGAAACATAAATGTGGGATTAACTAAAAGAAACTTTTTTAATTTAGTCATTAACTAATTAAGTTTAACTAAAAGAAACCTTCTTAAATGTGAGATTAATGAGTAATTAATTAAAAAAATGTAACTTCTTTTGGAGGGAAAATAAAAATGTTTTTATTAAATGTTTTATTAAATAGGGTTAGCTAGCAATTATATATATATAGATTATATATATATATAGATAGATAGATAGATAGATTGGTTTAGCTTTTATGGATTTCCTTTTTATAACTTTGCCAGTTATGTACATAGCCCAATAGTTAGCACAGGATTCGTCCAGTCCCAGTTGCATGAAGCCCAACCAGTATAGCTGAGCCCAACGTTGCGTAATAAGCCCAAATCACACACTAATATAAATAATAATGTCAGCAACAAAATGGTGAGAAAATTACAGCAATTGCAACGGAACTTGCTGGAAACATCTGGTTTCTGTTTAATTCAAGCACCAGACGAACTGCACAAGGACAACCAAAAAGAAAAAATAGAGAAAAAGTAGGAACCATAGCACAATGAACTGTAGAGATGCCGATATGACGGAGGCGGAGGCTGCACCTCCACCGCCGCACGTAGCGGTCTCCAGTGCTGATCCCAACGATGTTAGGAATTTGCTGACAATGGCTCGTCAACTAGTTCATCAAGGAAAGCCTTCCCAGGCGCTCCAGGCGGTAATTTTTTTATCCACTCGAGTTCAAAATGATTTTTTGACCTAATATTGTATTTATTTGGTTAATTCCAAAAGGTTTACTACCTTGAAGCGTTTGCTTGTTGTTTGCGATCAGTAATTTTTGTAGTCTTTTAATTTGAATATAGTATTGTCTACAAATTTGTGTTGTATCAATTTTATAATTTATTGATTCATGATAGTTGTAGATGTAATGGTTTTGCTGGAATCCATTTGGGTGCAGCTGTTACTGAACTTCAGAGGTGTCATTTGTACATATATATATACGCACACATTTCCGTTTATTGTCTTGCTGTCGTGGTATTTACAAGTCGATTTTGACAATGTTGTTGGCATAAATTATTTTTTCGTGAAGGGGTTTTGAAACGTACGCTAATGCATTGAGTAGTATCACCTTATAACCAATGCATTAATCAATTTTGTAGAGATCAAAGTGATATTTTTTTTGTCCTATGGCATTTGCCCGGGCATGAAAGGGATTCAAGTAGCAGTTATTTTATGTTCAATGTATAATGTTTGGTAACTTAATAATCACACCAAACTTAGATCACATGTTCCTGTTTCTTTTTCTTCCTCTGCACTTTGACATTGCATAACCTAGAACAAACTTTGAAATGAGCTTAAGATTTCAGTGTTGATCCTTAATTACACATACTGAAAATTGTGAAATTGTAGTAAAGAATTTTTTTATTGTAAAGCAAACCATTAATAAAGCTTAAATGTGCTTTAAGGAATATGTTACAGTGGTCTAGGCTTGCCAGTGCAATTTATATATTTGAAAAAAGTGTTCATTAACCTCACATCATGTAATATCCATCGCATGTACCATCGTATATTTAATTATTTATCTATTGGAAACGACAACTATAAAGTAATCCTTGCTTGAATTCGATTGTCTTCTAAATAACAACTATTTCACATACTTTTAAATCAAGGTCTGTCTCTTTTATTTCTCTGAAGCTCTAGTGGATAATTAAAAACTTTGAAAATGTTACAACTTACTGAAACAGGGTAAGCACTTTTGAGATAGCTGAGTGATGCATCAGGATAGTTAGACTAGAATTTAGAGCTTGGTTTCTCGTTAAATTGCCCTAACTTTAGTCAGTTCATACAGGCATGAATATTATCTTACACCATCCAGTTCATGGCCCATCAGAATACTACCAGTTCATTATTTGTCCTGGAAAAATTCAGGAACTTGCATTGGCGAAATATTTCGTAGCAGACCTTGATTACCAACCTTAAGATTGTAATTGTCATGGAAAACACTTACCCGTGGCATACTAATAATTATGGAAGTTGTGTTCACGCAAGTTTATGCTACTCTGTGCCACATAGAAGTCCTGAAACAGTTCCTAAGGCAAATTGAGCATTAATTTACTGGTACATGTGTTTGGATGATTAATTATCAAAACATGCATCCATTTATTATTTGGATGTGAAGCCTAATAATTGTGCAGAATTATTAAAGATTGTATGATGGAAGTACATTGGAATGAATTAGACATGAGCTAAGTGTTATCAGTCCATGTTATCATCGAACTTCCCTAGAAGTTTGCAGAAAGAAAAAATCTGAAAACTGCTTGGCCCTCTGCTCATCCTTTATTTTCAGAATATTCTACAGTCATATCGATTGTTTAATTACATAATATGGTTGGATTTATTCATTTCGCCAAATGTTGAAGTTGACATACAATTTCGTTATTTATGTATTTACTTTGTATTCATGCAATACAACAACTTACTTCTTGGTTTTGTATTCATGACTACATGAAGATTAAAAGAGGTAAGGACTGTGATTTGGGCTTCATAATCTGGACATTATGTTACTTCAGGAGAAAACAAATCCAATGGTGGAATTATTTTTCCTTCTCTAACTATCTTTTATGATCTGATAATCTGATTTGTGAGAGTTTGTCTTCTTCCAGCAGTCTCAATCTTGATGTATCGGAAAATATCTTTCTCAGCTCATGGAATGCCTGTTCTTGACCTGTATCGATTTAGTGTTAAAGATTTGTTAGTCAGCATGCCTTGCTTTGACAAATTTATCAACTTAAGGGTCCTGAAATGTCCCCAGCCTGTGCTATTACAATTCCTGGATATTTCAAATGTAACATGAAAAAACTCGAAAAAAAAAAAAAAGAAAGAACTTGTCTAGCTTCTGCTGGGAAGACTGAATACCTTCTCCTCCTTGGCCTCTGAATCAGATTGCTTGAACATGATAATCTTACACCTCTTGTGAGGTTTGGGATAGTGATACCTATGTTATGATTGAGTTTATGAATAAATATATTTGCTTTAAGACTGTCAAATGCCAAATACAACTTCAGTAGCTACTGAGGTCCTGACTCTGTACGGCACCTACTTCAAGAAGCTGATACAGTCTTTTGTGGACAATTTTTCCACTTGCTACAGATAACTTCAAATTCATAGTAAGGACTACTACTCGACTCCCCTGTCTAGACAAGATAAAAAATTAAGTTAAAGATATTGGCACTTTATTTTTCAAAAATGTGCTTTACATTATAACTTTTTCTGTGTTTGATATGTCTGCTAGTCCCAGAGCCAGCCCTATGAGATATCAATTGTTTTTGGTCCCCAACTATTTGTCATTAGTCCCCTCAAATCTCACTCTCATTTTGAAGGTGGTGATGGCTATGAAAATGCAAGGCGGTGAGCAAGCCGTGTCTGAAGCTCTAAAACGTGCTCGTGAGATGTACATAAATAAAGTACAAGCCACTGCAGCAGCCGATGAACTAGCTTCACTTTTTGCTGAATGCGCAATAGCCGAGGCCATGCCTTTACAGCAACCTAATAATAATAATAATAATAATAATAATATGGAGGATGACAGGCTGGCGGAGCCGGACCCACAGGGAACTTCGATTCTTGCGGAGACAGGGAGAAAGCAGATTGTGCTCGATGCCTTCTCGGACGGGAGCAGCTTTGTGTGCCTCAAGTGTGGGGGACTCGTCAGCAATAATCGCAAGGAGGAACATTTCACATTCTGGTGTTGCAATGGCTGAGGTTATTTGCATGTCTTTTTTTTTTCACTATTGCTTTCTTCTTCTTC